AAGAAGAGATGTGTAAGCAGTCCTTGTGTTTGAATATCTGTTGTCGTCATAATTAGGTGTAGAAAAGGCTGCATTATACTATTTTGCAGAGAACATTCATGAGCAGTATGCATTCAAAACATAATGGACTAGGAGACAGTGGATAGAAAGTGCACTGGGGGGAGAATAAGTGGAAGTGCATTTTGAATTAAAAAATACAAACTGATTCGATAATGAAAAAGTTATCCAATCGTGAGCCATACATGATACATCAGTTGTGATGAATTGATTTGGATGATTATTGCTTGTGAAATTTCTGTGGAGATATTTTCCAGAATCTCTGAAAGAACTATGGATAAATAGAGGTTCAATAATTGAAGTTTGAAGCAGGGATTTATCTTTTTTATTCACTGGATTTTACAGCTGTCTAGAAATGTAATCTAAGAATATTCTTTTACCATTTCGTGCTTGTTGCATGGTTTAAAATAACCCAACTGAGGCCCGCCTCGGAGTGAGGAAAGTGAAAAAACGCCACAAGACACTGATTGTCAGGCAGTTTTTAGGGGCGTATGCCTCAGTTGTGTGAGACGCACGCCCTCGTAGCACCGCCTCAAGACTTAATGAGGTGTGTGCTCCATAATTCTCGAGACTTATCAACTTTTATTTAGGTGTGAGCCCTCAAAATACAAAAATTCTGATCAACTCATTTTGGGAATAGCCCACTGCACACTAAAACCTTGTAAAATTGTGTTTCTCATCTGCAAACTTTGGGAATACTCTTGCCAACTAAAATAATAGTTTCTTTTTTTTGTTGCTTTATAATTTTTCATTTGTTTGTTTTCTCACTTTAAATTCTTCTATTATGAATTTTGAAAATTATTTCTGACTTATTATGAGCTTATTTTGTATTTTAATAATTTTTTGTCATTTTTTCAGCTTACAACGAGGCTTATGCCTCAAAACGCCTTGCCTCATGAAGGAAAACCCCTTAGTGCTCATTTACCCCTTTTTAAACATTCTTATTGGTCTGCTGGTGTCTTAAGCTCCAAAACGTGTGATGAAGCTATTAACTATACTCTACACGCAAAAAAAGTCGAATGTGGAAAAATTCATGTGATATGAAAATACATGAGTGCCACCATGGAAAGATAAGTTATCAATTTTGGAGTTTGTATGCCATTGAAAAAAACTCTAAAAATCGCTGTTAAAAGTATAAATGATGAATCAAATATATATATATATATATNCACTATCATCATCATAATCCAAAAATCAAAAGGTGATGATAAAGTGTTGAACAGCTAAAAAAAAAAAAAGAGATAAAAAATAGAAAAAGATGGTGTGCAATGTAAGAACTGTTTAACGAAAGTTATAAGATAAAACTAAAAGAAAAAAAAAAGTTGGAGTCATTTGTAATTTTATTTATTAAGTTTATGACGATATTCTCAACAATGCATATATGTCATTTCCTCCAGAATGGAGGCAAAATTTTGGCGTTATCTATTTACGTCATGGTTAATATTTTTCAAAATGGGTGAACACGATAACCCTTTTTTTGTTTCTGCAAATTAATACCTGTTTATTATTATCTGTCCTCAGGCAGTAACTCCTCTTATTTTGGTATATTTTTCTTCGTCAGCATAGGTTGGGATGATGTTAAGGGGTATGGGATTTTCCAATGACACTTCGATTTATTTGGCTTCCGGAAAAATTTACAAGGAGGAGAGATATTTGGCGCCTCTGCATAAGATGTTTCCGCTTCTACAGACGAAGGAGTCACTTGCAAGTGCAGATGAACTTGCTGCATTTCGGGTAAAAGTCATAAATTTTTGTCCTGCTACATTTTTTATTTATCCAACTGAAGTGTCTTGCAAACCTATTAAATCGCTACTTCTGGAGTTGTTAGTTTTTACTGATTCAGTAAAGGCAAATACATGTCTCTATAGCTTTTCAAAATTATGGTTTCTAAGTATTTATGCCTCCACACCTCTTATGGGTTGTTTGGTAGAGAGGAATATATAACACTGCATAATAATGAGCAATGAAGAAGTTAAAATTTTATCGACTATGGTGTCCACTACATACCAAACATTCACCACCGTGCACGAAACGTTCACCTGGTGTTTTTGTTTAAATGAGTACCAACTATAATAGACTTCATATCTGAACTGTAGTTGTGAGTACTATTTAGACATCATAACAAAGCACGTGTGGCTGAACTCTTCATTTTCCCCCTTTTTTAGGGTTATTCTTCAAGGTTAGCTGCTTTGGACTACATGGTGTGCTTGTTTAGTGAAGTATTTGTAACCACTCAAGGGGGGAACTTTCCACATTTTCTGATGGGCCACAGAAAGTTCATCTTCAACGGACATGCTAAGACTATTAAACCCGATAAAAGCAAGCTTGTTGTCTTATTGCAGAACACAAGCGCAAGGTGATCTCAATATCTTCTTACGTTTTATAACAATTTGGAAATGTTACCAATGAATTTTCCTTTTGTTCGTTCATTCACATGTATTTGGAGTTGTTTTTGGTGAGTTTAAAATATTTTCTGGAAAAATTAGAAAACTTGTAAATTTACATGTGAAGACGTCGGTCAACTCTCTGGATATTTTTCAATAAACACAAGTTTCTTGTCCGCACATTGGTCCATGAAACTAAGAAATGTACATAACCTTCATATATGAACGACAGCTACCTGGTCATCGTAAATAGTCCTCTGAGCTTGTTGGGCTGAGCTTAAAAGTTAGTTTAGTAATTTCTTGCCAAACATGTTTGAACCTCTTTAGTAAATTTTATTTCTCAGCTTACTTTTTAGTAAGTACTACTTTTTTCCAAACGTGTTTGATCAGAATTGCAACACGAATTTCACTAGAGTGCGTCTTAATGTAACGAAATAATGAAATGATACTTTTTCTTGGCTTACAGTTGGGATACTTTCAAGGATCAAATGGAACTGATGCTAGCTGAAAGTGACCGGAAGGGTATAATTGTACCAAGAGTTAAGAAGTCGACCAGAAAGACTTCAATCTACTCGAACCCTTTTCCAGAATGCAGGTGCCTTTGGGAATCACTGAACGCGAGCACTCGAGCAGATTTATACATATGATACGTCACTAATAAGTCCTTATATCCGAATATGCTCAGGCCACAGTTGCTTCTGATGACCTATACCATCAGAGCATAAATGTAGTTGAAGCACGGAGCTTTTGATATATACTGCAAAAAAGCTGACCAAAAATTCTTGATTCAAAAGGTGAAGATTTTCAGAATTAAGTTGAAGAGTAGGGTGTTATTTTTGCATCATCATCGGATTAAGAGTAATGTGTGCCTCTTACATACGATTTTTTAGTTGGGATGAACGGCAAAGAGAATTTTTAGTTTTTGCATCTTAGGAAAAACAATTAAGAAATATATTAAGTTACAGGTTGTGCAATTTTGTAGTTTTTTGGCTTTCTTTGAGTTACATGCAATTTATTTGATTCTTGGACAGTCATTTTACATGTACATAAGCACCGGTGCTTATCCATTAATGAAAATCGGTGTTTATTAGACCCAAAGAAGGGTCCATAAGTTCTATTCAAGCAGTTTATGTACNTAGCAGATCAAGAGAGGAGAGTGGGTGTTAATTAAAGGAAAAACATGGAAATTGCTGTCTGTTCGGTTGCCCAATGTCCCTGCTGCAATATGATGAGAAGCTATTTCTCCCGGTACAAAAGGATCAAAACATTCCACGCCCCGTGCCAGATTTACAAGTTGATCAATTCCGATTCTTTCTTTTTCTCTTGACTTTTTTCCGATCGAGATGTATAGATCATGTTCATGGATTAACAAGAATGTAATACTGGATCTTACGGAGCCTGCTTATGCACAACATGATTCTTTTTTTTTTTCTTTTCTTTTCTTTATAATCGATCCCTCAAAATAACACGAGGGCATGCTGTTTTTTTATGTGGTAAAGAGGTACCATTAACTTCAATAAACAATAATGGTCAACTTTTGCAGTTTTAATCAATAAAATATGGCTCGAGGGCCTCAGGGACCGATTATTTATGGAAAATGAACGTATCCCATGATCCATTTGCATAAAGAAAATTCAGTGAAAAATGTCAAGTTGGTAAAATGTCATGTTGATACCCTACTGAATGATAAAAAATATACTGAATGTTTTGGACAAGTAATTGACTTCAAAAACAATTTGCAAGGACTTAGACAAAATCATACGAGGGTCCGTTTGGTATGACATTTGAGAAGTTAAAAATTGTTTCTAAAATTAAAAAGCTTTTTTTGAACATGTTTGAATAGTATTTTAAAAGTGCTTAGTCTGATCATGAAAATTTTCAGGGGATGCTACATTTAAGTTAGTTTTTACGAGGAAGCTCTTTTACACAATGCATAAGCAAAAATAGAAGCGTGCCAAGCGGACTCTATAAGTAAATGCAAATTGATAAATTCTTCTTTCTAGGACACTTCCATTGTTGTTTCCTTGTTGGTTCACTTGAAGCCATATATAAATCAAGTCGCTTCTTCATTTATGGTACAAACCATCATTATAAGTTCCAATTTCTACCTTTTCTTATTGTCAAAATTGCTCTTGCAGAGCAGGCTCAATTTCTAGGCAAGTAAGCACTCGACTAACTTCCATGCAAGATTCACAAATTATTTGCTCCCATCAATAAATCTTTTAATTATTCTTGGAAGAACATCAAATTACTTCAAAATAGCATGGAGTGCAGGAAATTCAAGATTACTCTTATTTCTGCCTACAATCTCCCAGACGTCAGGAAATTTCTACAAATGAAAGTTTATGCAAAGGTTTCAATCAAAGGAGAATCCAAAACTGTTAAGGGATATAATCCCACATCGAATAAAGATGTTGACACAGACCAATTAATAAAGATCTTGGGCTACTCCTCTTAATAAGGTTGACATTTTAAGATGACCCCCAATTCTTTACAAAAACCACCAAGAAAACCCCAGTTGACATGGAAGGTGAAATAAATCCTAGATGGAATTTTTACATGGAATACGCACTAGGTGAGGCAGCAGTACAGCAAGAAGGTATAAATCTTAGCATCAAATTATATTGTAAAAGGAAACTTGGAGACAGATTTATTGGTGAAGTGAATATACCATTGAAGAAGCTCTTTGGTAATGGATTAAGTGCAGAGAATATCAGCTACGCCGTGGCTGGAGCTCCAAGAGGAAGACTGAATATTTCATACAGATTTAGTGACAGCATATTTGTTAAGAAACCTTCTCGGTGGAACAAGGCACTCGAGTTAGGGTTCTTGATACTACTAGGAGGAGCATTTCTCCTTTTAGAGGGAGAAGAAGATAAGGAGAATCCGGTTCTTACGGATACTAGGGATGTTGTTGTTGTTGACGACAACGATGTTTTTACGATGCCACTGATTCGAATGGAGGAAACAATCTTTAAGATAGCTAAACATTGAATATTTTCAACCTGATGGATTTCAAATGTATCATAAGATTTTCATTATATCTCTCTGAACTTAGTTTGTAAAGTGTTTTCTCATCTCATTAGCATAATACATTTTCATATGATAGCAACAAAGCCTGATACACAACATTCACTCACATGGGATGGACCGATGTATGGCCATGTGCAATAAAAGCGCATTATAAAACTGGCCCGAAGCCCGAAGGGCTAGTGTTCTTCTAGAAGAAACTGTAAATTACCATGTATTTTAAAAGAATTGATTAATAAATTAGGAGAATTCTTTAAAAAAATCGAATGACAGGATAATTAATTCCACTGAAAAAAAAAAAAGATTTACCATGAAAATCTATGGCCACAAGTAATCGTGCAAGTTGCAAAATGGTCTACGGAGAGGCGGAGACTTGAGTTATATGAGTCAACTTAGATATTTTCTTGCAAAGAAAAATGGCATTAAATTATCCTCATCTTCCTCGAATTTTCCCAAATTTCTACCTAAAGGTTACCCCAAAAAACTAAATTCTTGAACAAGCAAATCATTCAAAGAAAAAAAAAAAAAATGAGTAACATGAATTGCAGAAAATTTGAGATTACTCTTGTTTCTGCAAAGGATCTGAAGGACGTTTGAACTTGTGGCAGAATGAAAGTATATGCAAGATTAGCTATACTCATTTCAAAAGTGAGAAACGTCACACTTGAGATCTAACCGTAATAACGATATTCATATTTCGTTTACTTACAGCTATAAATACAATTAAATAATAAATCTTGCCAAATGTAAAATATATTAATCGTATTAATAGTGTTTACAATCTAAATCGATTGGATTTAGAACATGACACTTACATTATGTCAGTCTTATTAGCATATACAATGAGTGTCCAATAGTGATTTATGTTGGAGACAAATGATTTGAGGAGCACTTTGAAGAGAATTTCATGTTTTGTTCGGGTCTATCTTATTTGTTGAGAATTATAAATTCTAATTATATACCAACAAGAGAAATAAAATCACAATAAGGATATAAATAAATAAAAGAATACGTAAGACTTATAGAGATTTGTCTCAATGAGAGACAACTTACTCGTGTGCCCTTGCAGTAATTCATTGTGCTGAAAAGAAATTTACAAAAGAAAAAAGGCACACCCTATTTTCTGTAACATATCTCTTCTTGATGATGATTCAAAATCCTAATGTCGGTCCATGTACGAACTTTGCACAACAACAATAATCCAACCTCAACACTTACTCTGGGCACTTCATCAATTGTCTAAGCTACGGTTGTATCAGCAACAAGACCAACTCAAATATATTGCCACATCGACAGCTAAACTCTTTAGAAATCTAGTTCTATATGAAAGGAGCAAACACATATATTGTGGAGTATCACTTTTTAAGGCATCTCGCGAAGGAAGAACCAATTAACTCAATTTAATGCAAACGTAAAAATCAAGTTTTTGAAATGTTGATTCCGTCAAATCAGAAATTTCGAAAGTTGCTTGATATTACCAAGTCTGCCTTACGCTCTCATTAGTTTTTATTTAAATTCAACCTTCAACATAAAATAAGTCTTTTAAAATTTAATTACGGAGTGTTCTTCTAGAAGAAACAGTAAATTACCATGTATTTTAAAAGAATTGATTAATAAATTAGGAGAATTCTTTGAAAAAATCGATTGACAGGATAATTAATTCCACTGAAAACAAAAATGGACTTACCATGAAAATATCTGCCCACAAGTTACCGTGCAAGTTGCAAAAAGGGTGTTATTGAGAGTTGGAGACTTAAAATATTTTATTGCAAAGAAAAATGGGATAAAATTATCTTCATCTTCCTCGAATTTTCCCAGATTTCTACCTAAAGGTTACTCCGAAAAAATAAATGCTTGAACAATCAAATCATTCAAAGAAAAAAAAAATGAGTAACGTGAATTGCAGAAAATTTGAGATTACTCTTGTTTCTGCAAAGGATCTGAAGGACGTTCGAACTTGTGGCAGAATGAAAGTATATGCAGAGGTATCAATCGGAGGTGAACCAAATACGGCTAAGAGAACTCCAGCCGACGTGAAAGGTAAGACAAATCCCAACTGGGATTTCAAAATTGAGTATACATTAGGTGAAAAAGCAATGAAGGAAGGCGATGTAGATCTTACTATTAAATTATACTGTGAAAGAAGATTGTGGAGTGATATTTATGTGGGAGAAGTTAACTTGTCACTCAAGGAACTGTTTAAAAAGAGGAAAAGTTCTGATACTAGTATCAAGGTTAAAAGAAATGGTTCTGTGGATACAAAAGGAACCCTAAATATTTCTTATAATTTTGGGAAAAGAATTGGTGTTCCTAGACCTTCTAAATGGAAGAGAGCTTTGGTAGCTGGGGCAAAGATATTTTGTAGAGTAACCCTTTTCTTATTTCTTGGAGGTGATGTAGAAATTCCAATTTTCTTTTAGATATTGTTGTGTCAAACCTATATGCATCTTTGTGCATGTTATAGTGCATTGTTGTTTACGTACTTTGGATGCGAATACATCACTTTTGTTTTAAGCTGTCACTCCATCTTGTTAATATTGATACATTAGATTGATAGAGTAATGATGACGCCACATGAACCAGATTGGCATGAATTTGATTTCGATTACAATAGAATTCATATATCAAGTAGTTAATGACAGGTACTATTATCCTCGACGGAACTTGCACGGAGGTGCGTGTATATAGTTTTGAAACTGTTTTCTTATATAAACCTTGAGGAATAGACCCTACCCTATTCTCGAAAATTCAAATTTCCACGATGCTAGGGAACTGATTGACTCGAGAATCTGTAACGCATCTGCTGAGAAAGAAACTGCCCCATTCCCTTGGTAATGACAAATGTTAAATGTGTTATTAAGTCAAGAAAACACTTGAGAGATATAACTCCATTTCTTAGCCCCTGATTGATTGCCATTATTTGATTACATGTGAAATATTTTATTGTGTGAATGTGTGATTGAAAATGACTTTTCTACTTTGTCAGGGCAGCTAACACCCCCTATGATAGGTGGGGAAAGAATTGCTAGGTGGCTAGCTGGCATTCGGATGAAAATGAGTATATAAGAAAAAGAATTTTCAAATAATGGTTATCAAACATGGGTTTAATGTAACATATACATGAACATTTGTTTTAATATATTACTTTAGGTTTGTGAAATATTAGTTGTTTAAATTTACCATAATTTTAAAAGCATATAAAAAGTTTATTTGTTGTCGGTTTCCTTTCATTACTAAAATATTTGTTGGCCTATGATGCCAAACTGATCCAGTGGGCTATGATTAAATGGGCTTTTAGCTCAAACTCGACTATTTAATTGCCTGGTAAATTGTCGGCCTAAAACCCAAACCCATGTAAAAACTCTCTTTGGATAAAAGCATTTTTAAAGCCACTTAAAAATCGCCTTTTGATTTCCAAGATGTCCTGGATCGTGATAAATGTCCTACAAGGCTCCCGGATCACACGGATAGAAAGGAACTTAAACCTACACCTGGATAAACACCTCTTTTTGAGATTTTGTTCCAAGAGATTTGTCCCTTACATAATCATCTGATCTCTTTTTAATTGTTAGCGAGTAACCGCGCGAAACACTTAGTTAAATGAGTGGAATATATAAAATCCTATATAAGGGTTTTGCACCTGGTTTTTCGTGG